CCTTAATCCTTCTTAATAATGTGGATATATTTACAATATCTGACCACAGAAGTCTGTTGGTTTCCCTTTGATTCTTTCAGAAGAAGTTGCGCTCGGATGTCTATTATTGCTCTAAAACAATGTTTTTCCTGACTTCGCCACATTAGATCAGAAATTCAGACTCTGTTTGAGGGGAGTAGCAATTTTAAGTCCCTCCCGGGTTGAATTCTCTGCATCTTCTCCAGTTCATAACTTCTGAATCTTGGCCTGTGACCCCTGGAAGCCGTTTGTCCTTGAAGGCGCAGATTTATTCTTTAAACCTCCACCTTCTAAAGACCTTTTGAGTCTCTCGGCGTGGGACACATCCTGGTTTAGCTTCCAAACAAGCCCCACCCTGGGGGGAAAGGGGTTGATGGTTTTTCTTGTTTAAAAAAATCTAAAAACACCATCGTCCAATGGTAGACTTGTTCCCGCGTACGACTGGAAAATATGGAATAAGATCCCATCTCTCAACCACTCCTAAGATTGCTGAGTTTCTGGACTTCGGTTGGCTGTATTCACACAACCCACTAACCCGCTGTTAACTGAGTCAGGTTTATTGAGTTTGGCTGGCAATCTGGATTTCTACAATGCTCTGAGTCTTTTTTCTTTTTTTAGTACATTGTACAGACTTATCCATTGAGTGGTTTGTTGGTGGACAATGCATTTTGCTTTAAAGCTGTTTGGATCATCAGGAAGAATGAAGTCGCTTGCTGGATGGAGCCTCCTAGATTTGCAGCAAGATTTCTGTTGGTGGCCCTGGTTGCTGATTTATTTATATATCAAATTTGTCACTGCCCGTCTCGTTGAATGACTCTGGGCAGTTTACAAGACAGTTAAAATCAATTAGAATGACAAAATTACAATAATAAATAGAAAATAAATAGGTCCAAGCATAATTGGCAATCGCTCACTGATGCTGTAAATTCAGCGTAGGCCCACCTTGCAGCTGGACGACGTGCCAACCTGTTACGACACCAAGCAGGAATGGACCAAATCAATTCCACGTTAAACGAAGTGTGGGGTTGAAAGAGAAAGAATATTTGACCATAATTAGTATCATGGCTTTAGCCTCAAAGCCAAGCGAACAGCCAGCCTTTATCTTGATCACCTAGAGCGAGTAGGATTTTCTCTGAGGCGACTTGGCATTTGTAAAAAGAGTTTTCTCGGCCTTTTAAGAACTACAGGTGGGTCGATGTGTTATGAAGTGCAAGATGAAACAGAAACGGAATACCGCAGTAGCAGGAGAAAGAATATCCTGAATTTAAAACAGGCGGGAGGTTCTTATTTTTTAGTTGAAGTTATTTGAGGTGGGAAATCACAAAAGCCATTTAGAGAGGTAGGGTGAGTTCAGAGTAATCCAGTCACGCTATTTTGCTGCTTTTGTTCAGGACATTCAGTCATTGAAAGTGGTGTTTTGTGATCCAGGCAATTAGATTTGACAAAAGGATCTCCAGCAGGCCGTTTTCATGATATTCTGGAGGAATCAGAGGCTGTGGGTGCCCCTGATAAAATCTGTGTTCTCCTGGAAATATGTCGGAGGGTGGGAGAATGCAAAAATAAACACTGCAGTTTTGTAAGGAAGTCTCCTTGCAGGTTCTTGAAATGGAAAGGAAGTGGCAAAATGCCGTTCATCCTAATCCGTGGGGGCAGGAGGGTTGTTGAGCATAGAAGGCAACGATGGTGCTTCCTCAAGTATATAAGGACTGCAGTTCGGTTGGTAAACGTCTTTTAGATTATTCTTTTTTCCAGTTTAGCAAGGTAGCTACTCTGTTTTCACTGTCCCTTCTCTCTTCTGTGTTTCTTACGTGTGGAAGTTGGTGTTCAGAGGATATTAACTGCTTCCTTTTTAACTGAGCTTTTACCCACCATTTTTTAAGGAGGGGGAGCCTGATAGTTTTTTAAAAATTCAGCGTGGTTGGCGTAACGTAATTTTGTGAAGAATCAATGCTTGGATAGGCTTCTTTTCTCTCTCCCCCCAACTCCTTTCTCTCTTTCCTCCTCCTGCGTGGGTTTTACTGCTTTGCATAGAAACAGTGAACTTCTGTAGTTTACCCTCCCAGAGAACATAACGTTTGGAGCAGGATATAAATAGTGGAAGTAAATACACTGCGAACTTCTTGTGAAATTGTATGTCCTTGGGCCTTTATCCAGAGCCTTATAGGGGCAAATAGGTAACGCACACAGCTGCGGTTTACTGAATCACTGAATCATGATCTGTTGATGAAGCGAGAATGTGTTTGCACAACGGCACCAAGCTTACAATTGAGGTGTTGGGTGGCCAAAAACAATCCGTTTGGTGTTTAAAGTAGGTTAAAACCTTGCCTGTTGCTCTCTCTTGTGAGATGTTTTGTGAGAGTTCAGCCTGGGGGAAAAAATGGAATTTCATTGTGGGGCTTGGGTGGGAAAATGGGGGGTTTATTTGATTATTTATTTGATTAATCAAATTTATACGCCGCCCGTCTCACTGTAGAAGGGACTCTGGGCGGCTGACAAGTAAGAAAGTGATGACAAACCGATAGAAACCTTTACAAAAATATATACCGATTTAAAAGATGGAGAAAGTTGCTGCCGCGCTGCCAAACTCGGTCAACGATGGGGGGCGGATTTGAAATGACTCCAGAGGAAGCTCTTTAAACAGGCGCAAGTTCAACCGGCGAGGGAACTTGTTCCAACTACCCCATCTTTGGTGGAAACCTGAGATGTTCGTGAATGGATTTGGGGACGGGGTGCAGAGGGTGGCCCCGTCCTTGGGTTGTGCAATAATAGGGAGCAAAGCAGAGGAAGCAGAGTTCTGTTTGCGGTAGGTTTGGCCTCCCCTCGGTCTTCCCTTTTGCAAACCGTGCAAAAAAAGCATTTAAACGCCGCGACGTGATGCACCGGAAGGGGGAAAAAAACGGGAGACGTGCTTTTGAAAGATGGAGCAGAGCAGAGTGTGGGTCAACCGCTCTATCTCCCTGTGGCCAGTTTAGGCGATGTATCATTAAGAGTTAATTCAGGATCTGGGTTTAATGCTTATTTAAGCAGCTGGAGGTCAAGGGGGGCACCTGGAGAGCTGGGTGGCTTTTAATAGAAGTCCTGACCAAGCAAAGTGCACCATCGTCCGCCAGCAAAGTAATTTAAGGGTCTGTGAAAAACAGCAGGTTATAAAAACCTTTATTTTTGCACCTCTCAGAACGGGGGCTACGCCGTTCTCCCCTCTTTCCATTTTTGCAGGAATAATCCTGCTGTGTCATTAAGAAAGGCTTTCCAGCTAGAGGTTTGGGATCACGGGCCAAAGCAGCGGTGCGTTTATTTGGATGTTTGAAACAGAAATCTCCTCCAGCGCATTTTGGATGTTTTGGACTCCAGCTTCCATCATCCTTGGCAGCCGGCTAAGGGGAGGCTGGGGGGGCGCATGGGAGGGACTCGGCAAATGACAGCTGGCGCCAAGCAAACAAACCACCAACCCTCGAGGGACTGAATGGAGATGTGAGAGCCGAGCCGGGAGAGAGAAATAATTAATTTAAGAAAGTTGCTTCCCCCGAGATGCAAAAACGCACGTGGCTTTAAGCCAGGGGTTTGGCCAACGGGCAGGAGGAGGAAGGAAAAGGGAATCCTGGTAAACCGCTGTGAATGATGAGGCGAAGTAGAACCTCCAGGTGTAGTGGCAGTCTATCTGTTGCTGAATAGCGACAGCATGGAAGTGACACGCGTCCTACAGCTTCCTAGCATTACCTTTCTGAATTTCTGGAAGAAACTGGAAGCTTGGTTTTGCCGCTTTTTATCTGGCCCCTTTCCGATCTTTTAGACGATTCCTTTTTTGACCCCAAGGTGACATCTGGAAGGCTTCAGGGTTCGTATCATCGTGCATCTGGATAAAAAAGGTGAATTTTCCAGTTGCCAGGGGGCTTTAAAAACTTGGAGCTATCCAGATGCTCAGATTGTGCAAACCATATTCCAAAACCTAACCATGTTACGGGGTAGTGCAGTATTTCTCAACCTCAGCAACTTTAAAACGGGTGGGCTTCAACTCCCAGAGTTCCCCAGCCAGCATGAGTGGCTAGGGAATTCTGGGAGTTGGTCCACCCATGCTGGCTAGGGAATTCTGGGAGTTGAAGTCCACCCGTTTCAAAGTTGCTGAGGCTGAGAAACACTGACACTGTGGGATTCATAAACTGAGCACTTGCGGTTGGTCAACCCTGATTTCTGGTTTAGGATGCTATGCATCCTCAGCGCACTGCATTTTACAGGGCTAAGCAAACCATTGTTTAGTGCAGAGGATCACCCTGGCCCGAGTCCACCGGCCGACTCAGGTTTGCCTACGGTCACACGCAACTGTTGTTGGACCCCAACCCGCGCAATCTCTCGGCTAACATTAATTTCGAGTGCACACCGTGCGCCAGATCCTAAACCAGCCAAAGGCTTGCGTTTGCCCCTCTGGCCAACGCGGGTGCGTCCAAAAGAAAATTGAACCAATTAACCAAGCTTAAAACAAACCCTGGTTTATGCAGGCAGCCCCACGGGCTGTACAGGACGCATCTCCGGGAAAGGCACGGCCTATTTATTTACTTTTTATATATCGAATTGGTCACCGCCCATCTCATCACACCACCCCGGGCGGTTTACAAAACAATTAAAATCAGTGAAAACGACAAAATTAGAATCATAAATAGGAAATAAATAAAATAATAAATGACGTAGCCCTCAAGGTGCTCTTGCCGGACTGTGGTCCCCTTTTCTCGGGACCGGGAATTAAAGTTGGGACTTTCTGCGTGGGAGGGAGATGCCCCCCCGTTCACTCTCTCAAACTCCCCCCATTTTGTCGACGGGAATCTCATCCGTTGTGGGTGTCTTATGACGACTGTTCTTCTACTGTGGCTTTACGAGATGGTTCTGCGCCGCCCTGAGTCGCTTCTGGTGAGCCGGGCAGCTGCATAAAAGTGATGAATTAATAAATAAATGACAATGATAACCTCATGCCGCCTTTGCTTCCCTTGCAGGTGCGACGTGACATGGCCGAGACGGGCATCGCGGGGCCCAGCTCCGGGACTCCCTAGTGCGCCGCACCCCTGATGGGCAGGAGAGCCCCCGCCGAGAAGACCGCCCCCCCCCCTTTGGCAATGGCTGGATCTACGCAACCAGCAGCCCAGACCTGGCGGGGGGCAGAGACCCACTACCCTTCTCACGCCATGTCCTACCCCGTGGCGCTAAATCAGCCTCATGTGGTGAGTTGAACCTAATTGCCTTGGGCTGGCTCTAACCTGTGGGCACGCGGGCGGGGCAGAGCGGGCCTCTGGGCCATGAGGACTAGAACCTTGGGGTGGTCTTTCAAAGGAAGTTGCCAGGCAAGAGTCGGTTGACCGGCTTCCTTGGGCATCGCTTGGCACACCACCCAGTCAGCTCTGTGGCTGGTGCCCTTTTAGTGCACGAGGCAAAAGCGCCACGGTGG